CATACTAAAAACTCATGAATATCCATTTGCTTTCGACCTGAATCAGAAGATAATGTGATCACGAAATCGAGAAAAAAGGTGGCCTAAAAAAATATTGAGTCGATGGCTTGACCACCACTCCCATGTCAAAACGAGGTTATACACGTCAAACGGACTTTTTTTTTTATGAGTACTTAGTACCTCGTTAAATTAACTAATTTAATTAAAAAACGTTCCATTTCTGAGAATTTTCGTAGACAAAGAAATTTGTAAGTTACGATAAGATGAAACCACTCACGAAATTTTATTCGTATTTTAATAATTTGATAAAAAGGGGTCTGTACAGCGGACTATTTTATTTTCTACTATAAAAGTTCGTTTTAGAAAATAATAAAACCAAAAGTAATGTTCTATTCTTTTTATCCTCTTAAGTTGATTGGCTTAGCATATTTGAATAAACGTTTAGGTAATTGAAACAAAGCGCTTCAGTAGGGGAGAAAGGTTCCAGGATTATTTCTGCTTTCTAGTTATAACGCTAATGGGTGAAGACACAACACGTTTTACCAGCCACGTGCCTCACTTTGTTTCAAATAATGGATAAGTAATTGGATCAATCGCTTCGCTCTGTGCTTCAGATTCGTTCACGTGGCCCACTACTTCCAGCCAATCTCGAATGGGTTTGACATGTATTCAAAATTTTATAATATATATCACAGGCGGATCTACGAAGGGGGGAGAGGAAGACTTTCGGGCTGAAGCCCTCCTCCAAAACGGTAAAACATAAGCATGTTTTACAGAAAAAAATATTAAAAACTATCTCTTAAAATATCATTTTCCGAATAATTACATTAAATAGGACTTCAAGAATCACTTCAACACCATTTCCTGTAGGTAGTTAATTTCTGTTTTTTTTTCAAATTATTTAAAGTTATATATATGAAAAAAAAACTTTCGGGCTGAAACCTCCCAAAATTAAATCCTGGATCCGCTAGTGTGTATATAATTAAAATATACATATTAGGATGAACACAGCAGTTATGGACAGGGGGTCCAGTGTAAGCACATGTTGGACTTTAAATGTAAATAATATGCATTCTTCTCGACTTAAAGATTCTAGTTTTTTCTAGATTGAAGAACAATGCCCTCTTTTGACAACTGTATGCCTATTGACAAAGTTCCCAAAAGAAAATTTTAAAATGCCTATCATTGTTGTTTCTATTGTGCTCTTGAGATCAATGTGTTTTATACCTTCCTATAACAGTTTTGATAAGAGTAAGTTGAACATTTATGTTATCTTATCTTTATTGTTAAATAAAAATTTAGAATTTGTCGAGATATATCCACTGGTACCAATCCTCTGTCCATCACTAGAACAATTGGAGTTCGGGATGTCCATCATTATTGGAAAAAAGTGTTGTTTTTTTTTAATGGAGATTATACCTGCATAACCTGAATATTTTTTAATTTTAAAGTTTCTTAATGTTTCTTACTTTTTCAAAATATAAACATCCATAACGACCTCAATGTTCCTTATGTTTCATGGCCCAATCCAGATACTTATCCTTCCATAACAAACTTCAGAACCATCCAAACTATCCCGTTTCTAATCTTGCTTCTTTCTCGATCCCTAATAACCCTCTCAGGCGTCTGAAAAGAAGATGGCCCCGAGATCGCCTGATGTAAATACATTTTTAGAGTAAATTTCTATTAATGAAATGTTTTTATATCTATCTAAAAGTACATGAGACATAATGTTATAAATTTAATTTATGTTGCTGTATAGTTTTTTAAATTTATTTATTAGATTGTGAAATTGAGTTGTCCGAAAACAGCTAGCTATTGTCAGAACAAAATTGTATGCACCATCTTAGGGATCAAGATACTAATGAAAAACAGTTTAATTCACTAGCTTTGTCGCGGTTTTTTTAAAGTTCTATGCATTATTACCAAAGGCCGAAATTATGAGGGGGAGAAAAGAAGGTTATGGCTTAAGCGGCCAATTTGTAGCTAAATTTTACTTTAAAATTAGATAAAATATATCTTTTTTATTTTGATTGTCTCGATCAAACCTAAGTAAATAAAATGAGTAAAAGTAATGAAATGATGTTATTTATCGGAATATATTATCTAACATAACGTTAAAAACTGACAACTAGAAAGAGAAAGAGATATAGTGAAAGAAGGGGCGTCAACATTAAGTCCAGTTCGTCTCTTTGCAAACAATTCTAGTTCCGGTCCAGAATTACCACTCATTCAGCAACCGAACAATCGCAGAAGGCAGTAACTAAAGATACTTCCATCAGGCAAGAAGAAGATGCAAGTATTCATAGCATTTTAAAGTTCCAGTCATAAGAGTCATTAGACGCCGTTTCAGTTTTTGACAGTAGTTTTTTGCAGTAATTGCCAACTACAGAATTTAAAAAATACGTTGATTGGAAGTATAATTTTTTTACCAGTCCCAAAACGGCGGAAGGATGTTGTAGCAACTATTATCCGCTGGTCTATATCACGTAGCTGGTCATTTATTGAGTTTATTTGGAGCCAAACAATTTGAATATGTCTACTACAGTGAAGGATTTTTCTTCAAGGCAGATACTGTTGTTGGAATTGATTTTTCGGCGCACTATCATGTATTTTGTTTCATCTTCATTTACTTGAATGCTATCTTCATTTACTGGATTGCTCGGTATCTCATATCTGAGTCCGAACGAGTCTCTCAACATCCGCATACTTTCCTAGGACATCTAACAATTTACTTCTACAATAATTTATTAGTTTATTTATTGTGTATATTTTTTTAAAATTTACTTTAATTTAATTTTATTTATGGTTATACTTTTTTATTATTATTTAGTTTCTATTTATTTTTATTTTTTGTACATATGAATGTGATATTATATTATTATATTGTTATGCGTGAATATGATATTACCTCCCTATAAACATTTTCCAAGTGACAGAATGTTATATTATTCAATAATTAAATATAAATATAAAAAAAACTTTATATCATCCGCGTGTGCTAGGATTTTATATTTCATTCCGTCAATCACTTTTCCGTCTTTGGGTAATACTGTTCATTTTATCTTCTACAGGGCCAAATTGAACTTGCCTCAAACTTGAAAGCCTTCAGATAGTTCTTCTTCTATCAGTACTCTGCATTTAGTATCATTAGTACACGCCTTCGTCAATCTCACCAAACTTCCAGGTCAGTCATTATCTTCTAAAGACAATTTTTGTACAAGGAATGCTTCAAAATCGACAAACAAGGCGTTTCACATCTTGAACTACTTTCCTTCATTTTTCGAATATATATTTTAGGATAAGATCGGATCTAGCGAGTTCCTTTTTTTATAATCCTGCTTGTTGGTTGTCTAAGGTACTTTCATTGTATGAATATGTCTGGTTTAACGGAATATTGATCATTATCTCAAAGTTGAACGAGTGCTATGTTTTTAAAATTTCCTTAAAAGACCACTGACTTAAAATATAATTATGATGAAATTTTCCAGAAGAAAGTAAGCCTCTCCAATGTCATAACTTAGCTAGAAAAATAAGTTTATTATTTCAATATACCTTAACATTTATCCGGGATTCAGAAGAAGGGATAAAATGTAAGAAATAACTGAATGAAAAATAAAGCAAAATTTGGAATGAAAAAAAAAATCAACAAACAAAAAGTGAACTGGGCATTGCTTTCACAAAAGATTTGACAATCCCTTTACTGAAAGGTATTGTTCAAAAGCTTGACCAGCGACCCTCTTGGGAATTTGTCATTTTTTTTTTTTTTTTTAATTCTGGCTGGCACGAAGAACAGTTGTGACCATAATTGATCCCTAAAGCTGGTAACGCCAGGGCTGGCCGAGTGCCCGTACTCCTTTACGACTAATAAACCTGAGGTATTATCCCAACCTCACTCGGTTATACTTCCTCCGAGCACAGCTATAGATTCACGCAATATATCTAGTTTTCAATGAATATCCTAGTAAGATAAACTAATGAATCCATTTTATTATTGAAAATTAGAAGTTGAGCTATAAATTAATAAATAAATTAAGAGAAGTTTAATGAACTGATAATAAATATAATAATTTTAGGTTCAAAGTGACGGGTGGATGGGAAGAGGGGAAAATAATTGCTCATATTATATCTTGTTTAGAGCGAATGCTTCTGAGGGTACTTTATCATTAAATAAAATGAGATTTAAAAACATCTAAGTTCCTTTTAAACTAAAAAACTAGGGGAATATTTTCGTTTTTAAAATCTGAGTTTTGAGTTTAAAACTAATTTGCTTTCACCAGGAAATGTTTCAAACATCTGACGACTCAGGCTCTTCGCCGTTTCGAAGACCACAACACTAACCAGCAAATATATAACAAATACAATTAATGTATAAAACTATTATCGACAATATTTATTTTTACAATATTGGTAATAAAATATAAAACAACATTATTAATCACTACAAAACATGTTTTATAATTGTTTGTGTCTAACTACAAAAATTCTCTAAAACATATTTTATTAAAAAATTATTACTTGTGCTTATTGTAATAATTACGTTAGAGTTCACAATTAAATTAAAATTCAATAAAATGTAATTTTTGTCAATTTATTTTTGTCTCCATACTATACCATATTTATATACCATTCCTGAAGATAGTTCCTTTTATTATATATTTTTTCTGTAATAGTAAATTTTAATTATTAATTATTTATAGATCACAATTTAGTAAATCAGTTTTATTAATACTGTTTGAAACATTTCGTTGTGGAGGTAAATAAATTTTAAGATTAATATACCTTTTCGAAAAATAACAGTAGCTAATTTATGAGCTGCTTTTTTACTGTGGCGATTGATATAAATGTTTTTAATTTACAATATTTTGAAGGGAAGTCAAGAAAAATTACAATAATTATCAATCACATTATATATACTTATATAAAGAGAGAGAGAGAGAAGTGAATCTTTGTAAAAAATATATTTTTAATAACGTGTAGGGAATAAAGATCAGACTTACCCCATCTGCTGAATATTTGGAGAGTGGGCCAGAGCCGTGGAATTCATCCAGGACAGACTGAACGCTCTTACTGGAATCTGAATAACAAAAAAAAAAAAAAAAACAACTTTTGTTATATCATCAATTTAATAATAAGTAGGATGTATATGACATAGTTATTTAATAATTTATTAAACAATCATAATCAATACCAAGGAATAAATTAACTTTAGTGAATCTAAATAGAAATAATTATCCAGTAAAAATTCATTGTTCCTGGTTTTTGAATGATTTACTAAATTTTATATATTGTAAATAATTATTACTAAAAAAAAAAAAAAAAAAAAAAGAAACAGCTCGAAAAGAGACATTATAAGTGGAAAAAGTCAAACAAAAAGCCATGACTCTCTAACATACAGACGATCAGTTAATTTGCCTCCGGTTTGCCAATTCAGGCATCATCAGGACAGAAAAACGAGATCACATATATTTATATTTACAAGATCACATATATGCAGAAAAAAAAAAAAGGAGAAAAAACAAAATTTGCTATTGACATCTCACCAAGCAATCCAAATACGCACTGAATAAAACAAAAGAGGAAGGGTTTATAAATCAGCTGTTTTATATAACCTTCCTCTCCTGTTTCCCTCAATACGTATCTTGATGGCTTGGTGAGATATCAATAGAAAATGTTTTGTTTTCTCCTGTTTCTTTCATTCTGCATACACATATACATATAAATATATATATGTATATATATATATATATATATATATATATATATATATATATATATATATATATATATATATATATATATGTGTGTGTGTGTGTGTGTGATATCGTTTTTTCTGCCCAAATGCCTTAATTGGCGAACCGTTTGCAAGTTAACTGTTCACCTGTTTTTTAGAGGGTCATAGCTTTATAGTTTGGATAGATTGTGAATCATTTTAAAACTTTTATCATGTATACAAAGAAACTTTTGCGGGCGAAATTCGATATGCGCACGGAATTTGGATCAGTGTTGCCGTTCCTACGAGGATCCTCGTATTTGTACGAGGTTATGACGTAGGATCGGTCAGCCTCATTCATCGTACCTGGTTTTTGCTGATGTATGCAAAGTTATATTTTTATGAATGAAATTTAGATTTGTTTTACAATTATTTTTTTGTATTATTGCTGTTGCTTTATAGACAAATAAATTGCAATTATATCTACTTTGATTAGAGTATGATTATTGTTTCCTTCATAAAACTGTTATTATATGTATATTTTTTATTTCTTAGAGAAAAAAGATTGTTTTCGTAATATTTAAAAAAAATATTTTCGTTTTTTATCTAGTTTAAAATATAAGTAAGTTTATCCATTATTTCCTTCATAAAACTAAGATTGTTACATAATTCACTTAATAATATACTTAAATTTAAGTAATATAAATAATAATAAATTTAAATAAGTAAGCAGAATAAAAATAAAAATTTAATAACAAATTAATATTTATTATTTAGAATTATGTTAACTAGTTTCGAACTTCGATGAAGTCATTATAATGAGTTTATTTTCAATAATGATAGGAATATCGCATCCTTTAAAAAGTTCATTTTAATATTTTAATGTTTATGGAAAGTTTTCCAATTGTTTCTAGAAATGTATACACTTTTTTATGTAATTAATTTATCCTGCCTTTAACTAAACTCATTTTACTTCTTGATCCATTACCTTAAAAATAAATTATGTCAAAAGGCTTTAAAATATATAAATATAGGTAATAAGCAACGCTCTGATCTAATTTTACTTTTAAAAAAAAACAATAACATTGGGCCAAGAATAATACGAATTTTCAATGAGCAAGCGTACGAGGATGTACGAGGTTTGAAATATGAGGACTTGTCACTGATTTGAATGCTCCTGCTTTATACTATTAGTAATAGGAATATCAGATAGTAAGTCTGTAGGAATGACTATTACCTTTAAACTTTTTTTTTTTTTTTTAACTTTTATTATGATATTTACAACTGTATTAGTATAAATACATCAAGTAAATTTGTACAGAGAAATATTATTACATGAAACACGCTTGTTGAGAAACTACTCACTGGTAGCACTCTAATAATTTGTCTACATGAGAAGATCACGAGGCCATCTTCTTTTCAGACGCCTCGGAGGGTTATCAGGAATCGAAGAGGAAGCAAGGTTAGAAACAAGAGGATTCGGATGGTTATGAAGTTTATTATGGAAGGATAGCTATCTGGATTTGGCCAAATCGGAAACATATGAAACATTGAGGTCTTTATGGATTATTTTATTAGTGACAAAGTAAGGAGCATTGAGGATTTTACGAAGGATTTTGGATTGTAAGGATTGGATGAGAGAGGAATTCGATGGTTTAGTGGAGCTCCATAGCTCAACTCCGTAAGTCCAAATAGGTCTTATTATAGTCAAGTATATGAGTCTTTTGTAATTAAAGGGAAGTTTAGAGCGTTTGTCTAGTAAGTGTTGGAGTAGTCGGAAACGTCGAGCGGTTTCTTGTCGTTTCAGTCTGGTATGAGGAAAACTTTATTGTTACAGCTGTTTTCTTAGATCATTTTGTGACTATGACAAACAAAGCTATATTTTAATTTAATTCATATGAAATTTGAAGAAGATGAAGATGGCGTGCGATCCTTAATAATTCAAGTGAAATAGAATTTTTTTGCTTCAGGAACTCATCATTTGCCCCAGGCTCACCCCATCCGAGAGTCACGTCTTCTCCCTCCCAGCAGGGTACCATGGAGCAGCTCATCAGTAACCTAGCCTAATGGCGGGGAAAATGAAATCCGCTAATGGGAAGGGGCTTTTCTCCAGAAATTTAAACAAAACTTATTCTTCCATCTCCATAAACTGATCCTCTTAGGGGACAATATTGTTGCCTCTGTAGAACTGCAAATGGCCAAAGAGGGTAAGTCTGTTCGGCTTTATATCACGGTTTGTTTATTTAAAAGTTAGTACTTGGTATTAATAAAATAACTAACCTGTCATGGATTTAGATAAATTCAATTAGTTATAAAGTTGCGTCTTTCTTTTTTTTTTTTTCAAACTATTGAAATTATTTCGAACTTTTAATTTTTTTTGTAGCTTAATCATGCTAGGTCACGCCAAATGTTAAGACTGTCAGAATTTGTAGCAAAAGACTTCAAAATGAAAAAAAACAAACAAACTGGGAAGTATACTTAAGACCACACGATAGAAATCAATTCATCAACGAATTCCAGAAAATACTCCTAACTACATGCTATATCTCGATACGGCATTTGATAATTTGTGTATTTATACTTTACAATTGCATATCGAGTATATAATAAAAGTGTTGGAAATGGATCACCAACGACTCCCGCATGTCATAGCTAAATTATTAATCGAAAAGAATATAACATGGATGAGGGCACTGAGAAGGATAGGAACAAAATGTGACATTTCTTTCACCAAAAAAGATCTGTTGAAGGAGTTGAAAACACATAAAGACATATTCCTTGAAAGACTAAAGCAAGAGAAAATGAATGATTACAATAAGATGGCAAGATCAGAAGAATACCATAAAATGTATGCCCAATTAAAATACGATTGTGGGTATTTTCGGCAGAATGATTACAATTATGTTTCATTCGTCTAATTTTTAAAGCGAGAGGGGAACTCTTCAAACTAAATTACCAGCCGTGGCAGGATAAAAGGGGAAATTGTTCTTTGTGCAATATGAATGCACCGGAAGATAACTTTCATTTTATATCGGTATGCCCAATACAAAAAGAGTTCAGAATAGCATTTATAGGTATGCATCAAATAAATTTTATGGAAACGATAAAAATTTTAAACGGCCCAGACTGAAGAAATTTTTATTTGTATTTAAGAACATTCACTAATTATATATGTGAATTAGTGAGAGAATATAATAAGAAATTTAGAATAAGAGGTATCTGAATTTATGTCATGTATATTTGTATATTTCTATACTTTTATATTTAGAAAGAATTTTTAGTTAAAATTAAGATTTTTTTAATTAAGCAGATAATATGGCAATTGGGATCTTGTTAGATTAAAACTGTGAATTCTTAAAAGATAAGATATCTCCAAGAATAAACTAGGCGAACACCTCGACAGACGAACATTAGTTCATAGCCGATAAATCGTTCAATTATATGTAAAAAAAAAAATGATATTATATACTTTATAAACAAATAAACGCTTCTATCTATGTATCTATCTATCAATTTATCAACAAGGCGGGATTAGTAATGTGAAACATAAACTTTTTTCATCTATAATAACATTACAAGTATTAACATTTACAATATCTGCAATTATAATGGTAAATAAATATTAGGATAATATTACGATTGATATTTTTCAAGGAACGGGCAAGAGAAATTACAAAGAAAGTAAACGACAATTGGAATGCACACTGGAGATTACTGCCACTCAATCACCTTCGTCTGACTAAAGACAAAAATCGAGTTTGGTATCCTCTAAAACACCCAAACATCAAATGAATGCTCCATAATAAGCAGGCTCAGAATTGGACATACCAAACTGATCCGTCTCCATCAACTTCTTCGCCTACATCGACTGTGTACATGAATGTGTTTTTTCTAGTGTAGAAAAATCCGTAAGCAACAAATTGATGACCAATCAACGTACAAAGAAAACAGTGGTAAAACGCTGAGGAACATTCAACAATAATATTAATAAGTTATATCTAAGAAGAAAGATCGTCGCTAATGACCTTAGCAGTCGATGCGACGTTAAAAAACAGCAAATAAAAAAAATGTATACATTCGTATACACTGAGACGTCAATTAGTACAAGACAGTTATGCAATATTGGTATCTTGTCTTAAATAAAAAAAATTGTAACGAGGGTCAGTAATTTGTCGAAACACAATCAAGTAAAACGAGGATTCCCCCTCAAGGTTGATGGCGCATGAATCTTTCCTCTCCATATCAAAATATTTTGTTGCTCTTCTCTTCTTAAAACAGAGCAAGTGAAAAAAAAAAAAAAACTGTAGATCATATACAATTTCATTTGCTACCGCCTTTTCCAAGTTTTCCCTTGTATCTAGGTT